TCTGACACTAGGTACATTGGCTAAACTGACTCATGAGTTTGCTTTGAGTTGATTTTTCATTCTTGGTTATTTGAGTTGGTTGTGACGTGCGGATTGTTGGATATCGAGATTCTCTTGGCGTATAATTTGTGATTATTGGTGTTAAATGTTGAGAATGAATTGGTGTTAATTAGTGTATTTGTTCGTGTGATATTGGTGAATATTTGAATCATTAGACTTGGTTAATTTTGTGTGATTGAATTGGTGATTAAATGGTAAATTTTTTGTCTTGGTTAATTGATAATAAATATGATGTGTTATCTCGTGAGAATGTGGAAAATTCGACCTTGGAATTTGAGTATATATATATATATATGTGTGTGTGTGTGTGTGTGTGTGTGTTTGTGTGATTAATTATGTGAAATTGGTAGACTTGGAATCCTTGTTTGAACCTTGAAGTGTAGCCTTATTCGCCTTAAGAATTTTGAGAATTTGTGAAGGGTTGAACCCTCTGTTATGCCGTGTGCCGTGGTTTATTGTTGTTGAGTTTTGAGAAATAAAGAGGCATGCTTAAGCTTAGTGTTGAAGAGAATGAGTTGCTTGTGTTTTGTATTTTGGCCTCATTTTAGTTTGTTTCCTACGTGTGTAAGTTGCTGAATTTTTGTGTTTTATCAAGAGTATATTTTTTTAAAGGGCCTTTATGATTGTTATGAAAGCATGAGAATGGAAAAAATAATTTGAAGCATTATGAGGTGCTGTTTGGCCGTGTGTGCTGAGCCTTTTGTTATTTGTTGGCATGCTTAAATTGTGTAGTTTCAGAGGTTTTTATTTTCAGTGATAAAGCTTAATTATGTGAGGATAGAGTTTGAGAAAAAGAGAAAGAGGAGGTGTGGATTGTATGGTGTTGGTCTCTTTTTATTGCAAATTTTGTTGAGTCTTATTTTATGTGTTATGAGTTGTCGGTGTATAAGTATACTTATTTGATCTGCTTAAATTGCTTTTATCTAATTTATTTATCTACCCTATTTGCCTTATTTGTTTGTCTGATTAATTGTTTGTTTGCCTTGCCTGGTTTTGTGCCTTAATTAACCAAATAAAAACATATAATAATAGTTAAACTCTAATTTGTAGATTAAGAGAAGTCGAGCGCTCTTGTTAGAACGTGCACCATCATCCTTTGCAGTATCAGGTGGGTGGTGATAAACCTTACCATGTATTTTAATTTCTATAAATGTTTTGCTTGATAATCAATGTATGCATGTGAACCGTAGTCTATGAGAGGGTTATCTCGGTTGATGGGTTGCCGAATTCTCTTAACTAGACCTTTAGAGAGCTGACTCCGCAATGGTGTATCGACGATTTGATCCTGTCGGTGGTGTATACCGACAGTTTAGATGTGATCACATGAGCGTAGGGCCATGTTAGGGGGTAGCCAAAGAATCAAAAAAATGGAAAAATTGGATCTATGTTCAACGAATCACACCTAGTAGGAGTAAGAAAAAGTCTTTTGCTTTGCTTCGGCCTGTCATCACATATGAAATAACGGATGGTATGAAGTAGGAATAATGGCACCGGAGATAATATTGTTTCCGTAAAGTAAAGATCCAGAAACAGGTTCTACCAATTAAGTAGCCGAATATTAGCTCTCCTTTGACACTGTAAGTCGGGTAATTCTTTACTTACTGCTAGGGAAAGCTCGGGAATTTCGTTACTGCTAGGCTACCAGCTAGCTACATTTGAAGTACTAGGCGATTTGCTTACACGGTTTAGATGTGATAGCACTGATTTGCTTACATTAGATTCAATGTCTATGATTTTTCTGGGGATGATTTATTCTCAAGGGATGGTTTTTTCCCCGTTGTTTAAGTGTTGACTTAAACTGGTTAATTGTGATTATTTGAGTAGCGCCCGTTAAAATAAATTTTTAAAATGATTTGCGAAAATTTAACTCTGATTTTAGAAAAATATTTGGTATTTTCTTATAAAATAACGGGGCGTTACAGGGGGTCCCCCTGACGGAGACCCCGGGAAGAAGAGAAGAAGTCAGTGGGGCTATCACTAACCAAAACCAAGAACGTGCAATGCTCCACACACGCCTTCACAAAATTGATTCACCGCTTAGGGAAGTTTATCTCGGCCAGAACCTCCTTGAGTGGTCTTCCTTGAGAAAAGACCACTCGACCCCATCATACGCCTTTGCCATGTCTAACTTCAACGCAAGTTTCAGGGCTAGCAACCGATCCGCATGAGAGATGTCGTGGATCATCTCCTGGCCAGAAAGATGCTATCATAAATGACTCGTTCCTTGACAAAATCAATCTGGTTCGAAAAGATGAGAGATAGAAGGATAGGGGCAAGACGACCAGTAAGAATTTTGGAAATGAACTTGTTGGTCACATTACAGAGGTTGATAGGCATGTAATCCGA